CGTATTGAATATGGACTCTATATTAGTTAATAGTATTGTATCAGTGTTAAACTTTTTGAATTTGATAATTTAGTACTGTGATTATGTAAGAGAATATACTAGTTCTTAGGAGATATTTGCTGATATATTTAGGGATAAAGGATTATGATGCCTGCAATTTACTCTAAAGTGGTTCAGCAGAAATTATATTAATGATAATTATACACATGCATTCATATGGGGTGGGTGTGGAGGAGAGAAGCCAAGCAAATATGACAAAACGCTAACAATCAGTGAATCTAGGTGGAGAGTAGATGGGAGTTTATTGTACAAATGTGCAACTTGCCTGTAAATTTGAAATGTTTTCAAAACAAAATAATAAAGAACACATGTTCCTTTAGTTTGCTGGTTCTCTACCCTTGCTGTACATTAGAATCACTGAAAGCTTTTAGAAAATACAAATGCCTGGGCCCGGCTAGCTAGAGATTCTGATCTAATTGGTCCAGGAATCTGAATTTTTTTTAAAAGCCCCCTAGATGAACTTAATGTGTAGCCAGATTAAGAACCATTGCATCCTAAGAATAATATAGTTCAACTATCACTTATCATACCTTAGAGTGAATTAATTTTTAGTCAGATTAGTTTCCTCCCCCCACTGGCATGCTTCCCACCCTGCCTTTATGCTTTTTATATCCTTTAAAACATCTAGCAAGGTTCCAGGCACAAAATGGGTCCTAATTAAATTCTAACTGAAATGAATTCATTAAAGAACAAAAATGATTTCTTAAAGGTAGCCATAATCATGTCATGGCTGTTTCTCCCATGCAGCTATAAATGCAGGCATATTGTATGTACCAAAGGTACATGCATATTACCTGTAGTGTGTGCATTATTTTCCCAATTATTATAGATGGACTGGGGGTATTTGCCCTGCCAAAGAGCTCTGCTAATTGTAATTTTTGAGGACCAGTGCTGCAGGTCCTAAAAAGAAAAAAGAAAAAAAAGCTGTCAGATATAGAGAATGAAACCCAGTTATAAGAGAACTTCCAAGGAAAGGAAATGGGGATAGTTCTGAGAAAGCATCTGAGATAAAGATACTAAGAACCTTAGAAAAAAGGAACAAGCTGGAGTATGAGTATATTAAAGAGAACAAGATGAAAAATACTAATATTTAAGTTATAGGCAGGAGTAATGAAAAAGGGCATAGTCAGAAATAGATGGGATGTATCAAAGGACACTATCAAGAGAACAAAAAGATAACCCATAGAAAGAGAGAAATGCTTGCAAATCATGTATCTAGTAAAGGTTTAATATCCAGAATATAGGAAGACCTCTTACAATTCAACAACAAAAGACAACCCAGTTTTTAAAAGGGCAAAGGACTGGAATAGACATTTATCCAAAGAAGATACACAAATGGCCAATAAGCACATGAAAAGATGCTCAACATCATTAGTCATTAGGAAAATTCAAATCAAAACGACAATGAGATACCACTTCACACCGACTAGGATGGCTATTATCAGAAAAATGGAGAATAACAAGTGTTAGTCAAGATGTGGAGAAATTGGAACTGTCTTGCATTGCTGGTAGGAATGTAAAATGATGCAGCCCCTGTGGAAAACATTTGGGCACTTCTTCGAAAAGTAAAACACAGAATTACCATATGACCCAGTAATTCCACTCCTATACCCAAAGGAATTGAAAACAGGAACTCAGAGAGATACTTGTTTGCTAATACTAACTGCATCATTATCCACAATAGCCAAAAGGTGGAAATAACCCGTGTCCATCAACAGATGAATGGATAAACAAAAGGTGGTGTATTCATACAAGGGAGTATTATTCAGCCATAAAAAGAAATAAAGTTCTGATAAATGATGCAACATGGATGAACCTTGAAAACATTATGCTAAGTGAAATAAACCAGAAACAAAAGGACAGATATTATATTATTCCTCTCTCTAGAATTCATAGAGACAGAAAGTAGATTAGGGGTTACCAGGGGCTAGGGTGGTGGTAGAATGGGGAGTTACTGCTTACTGGGTATAGAGTTTCTGTTTGGGGTGGTGAAAAAAAATTGGAAATAGACAGTGGCGATGATTTTCCAACATTATGAATGTAGTTAATGCCACTGAATTGTACACTTAAAAATGGTTAAAATGGAAAATTTTATGTTATCTGTATTTTACCACAGAAATAAGTCAATGGGGATACTTAAAAATGTTTGAATACAGAAAGACAAGTGCTCCTGTAGATAGATTAAATAGGAGAAATGAACTGAGAAAGGAAGAAAGTTAGAGATTCACTGGACTAAAAAGTGTCTTGAGAGAAGTCAAGATAAGATTATAAATTAACTCAGACCATTTCCTACTTTTTCTTCTATAAAGACCTAGAGCAGTTTTTAAAAAATACAATAAGTTCTAGAAAAGAAATGAGATGCAAAACTTTATAAAGAGGATGCATAAATAAGAAGAAGCAAGCATGTGAAAATTCATCTACTATGAGTCATTATTCTGGAAACTAATGACAGCATAGAATTTCTGAGCACACTTGCAAAGGGTTCCTGAGCACCACAAATGCAAGTTGCAGTTTGCTCCAGTAACAATAGTATAATTACTCTCATGCGAGTCACTCCTACGTCATACGAGACCCCAGAGAATTAGAACGACATCTTGAAAGGCTCCAGAAATCTGTTTAGGACACTGAGAATGGAATTCAGTTTGTGATTGCCTCTTTTCATTATTCATCGTTCTCCATAAATTGAGAAGAGAAACTAGTGAGACTGGTAAAGTATTTCAATACCTTCTTTAATAACACTCTGAATTAATATAAGAGTATGACTAATTACTGTGGATGTAAGATCTGCAATGGTTCTTTATTCTCTCCACCATCATTCAGGCAGGGACAGAAGTAGGGATAAAGTTTCTCAATGAAAGTGCTACTGAAGGTGTAAATGTGGGTCATGGTTTTAGCATTATAGAAGGACACCTGCCCTCCTTCATAGTCCAAGTATATGCCCACTTTGTTGAGGTTGTTAGTCAGTTTCAGACTGCAAGAAGGCAAATCCAGAGCCTTTAGATCAGTTCGGTTCCTTAGTCTTATAAGCCAGAATCCTTGCTCAGGAGTTAGAGGGCAACTGCCCTTCCGAATAATGGATTCTCTGACGACTCCAACTGTCCATTTTGTCTTCTTTGCTACTTCTACTTCCCAGTACCACTTTCCAGATGTGAAGCCTTTTGAGCCCAGCACAGCTACACTTGAGTCAAACCGCTCTGGATCATCGGGCATTACCTGCTTAATGTCACCATGCCACACACTGGTTCGATTTTTGGAGAGCACCAGATTTGGGTGAGCTGTTTTAGGGTCCAGAGTTAATGGAGATAGGCCTAGTAAGAGAATAAGAGAAAGCAGGGCATGGGAGAAAAGGATTGAATGTAAATTCCCATAGTAAAAGACAGTATTTACAGGTACCAGTACTTTATCCCCCATACACATAGGCTCTTAGACTGTCAACAGGCAATTACTTATATACTTTATCTTGTTTTTGGTATCCATATTGTTAAATTTTAGACATTTTTATATTTGTGGTAAAAATCAGACTTTACTCTTAAGTAAAGTATGCTTTAATAAAGGAAATAATACAAATCATATAAATCTGTACTAATAAATATGAGAAAATACAAATGTCAAAGGGTAAAGATTAGGTAAGACTTCCTAGGAAAGCACATGGTTATTTTCTAAGGAAAATAAGGACATCTTAACATATATGAGATGTATTTGGGATACTTTGAACAAACAGGCAAAAAGGGAATGTAGGATAAAAATAGTAACTTGTGTGTGAGAGAAGGTAAGGGCTTGGCTGTTAGAGAAATGTAAGACTGAGCTAGCTGGTAGAGAGTTTACAGAGCAATGGTCAGAGTTTATATTTGGTTTAAAAGATGATGGGACTTATAGAAACTGTTGAATTGGCAAATGTTTTACCAGTATCGGAAATGAAAGAGGGGAAATCACTACAGATCCTACAGTCATTATAAAGATAATAATGGAATATTACTAACAACTTCATGCCAATAAAGTTCATAACTTAGATGAAACAAATTTCTTAAAAGACGCAAACTAACAAAGCTCACTTAATAATAAATAGATAAACTAAATAGCCCATGTTTATTAAAGAAATTGAATTCATAGTTAACTCCAGGCCCAGGTAGATTCATTGGTGAATTTTACTAAATATTTAAGAAAGAAATAATACCAATTTTATACAAACTCTTCCAGAATATAGAACAGGAGGGATTTATGAGGTCAGTGTTACCCTGATACAAAACCAGATAAAGACATTACAGGAAAAGAAAAGTGCAGATCAATATCCTCTATGAACATAGGCACAAAAATCCCTAACAAAATGTTAGCAAATCTAACCCAACAGACTATGTAAAAGAATTATAAGTCAATACCAAGTGGGATTTACCCTAAGAATGCAAGGGTAGTTTAACATTTAAAAAGCCATGTAATTCACCATTTTGACCAAAAAAAAAAAAAAAAAAAAAAAAAAAAAAGCCTGTATGATCATCCCAGATGCAAGAAAAAGCATTTGACAAACTTAAACACGTACTTATGACAAAAACTAAGACTAGAAGGAATTTTCTCAGTCTGATAAAGAACATCTATGAAAAGCCTACAGTTAACAGTATATGTAATGGTGAAAGACTGACTCCTTCTCCTTTGTATTTGATAACATGGTTTGGTAACAAGATGTCTATTCTAACCACTTTACTCAGCATGGTACTAGAGGTCCTAGTCAGTGGAATAAAGGAAGTAAAATAAATAAAAGGCCAACACACTGGAAAGGAATAAATAAAACTGTCTTTATTTATACACGATGGGATCATCTACATAGAAAAATCCTAAGGAATCTACAAAACAGCTGCTAGAGTTAATAAGTAATCTGGAAAGCTACAGAATACAAAGTCAATACACAAAAATCAACTATTTCTAGAGTGTAGCAATGAGCAATTAGAAATTAATTTTTTAAATATCATTTACAATAGTATCAAAAAACCATGAAATACTTAGGGATAAAATTTAAAAAAATATGTACAAGACCTGTACTTACAAAACATTGCTGAGATAATATAAAGAACATATAAGTAAATGGAGAAATATACCATGTCCATAAATCAGAGGACTCTTATTATTAAGATGTCAGTTCTCAGTTAATCTATAGAATGCAGTCCCAGTCAAAATACCAGCAGAATTTTTGACAGAAATTGACAAGCTGATTCCAAAACGCATATGGAAATGCAATGGACCTAGAATAGCCAAAATAATTTTGAAAAAGGAAAAAAAAATTAGAGGATTCACACCGCCTGATTTCAAGATTTACTATAAACCTACAGTAACCAAGAGAGTGTGTTATTGGTATAAGAATAGGTGTATAAATCATTGGAATAGAATAGAGTCCATAAGTAGACTCATAGTTGATTTTTGACAAAGGGCCAATGTATTTCGTATTTCATTGGCAAAACCATAGTCTTTAAAAAAAATGATGCTGGAACAAGTGGACACTCACATCCAAAAATTATTTTGATCTTTACCTCACACCATATATAAAAATTAAATGTAAATGGATCATAGGCTTAAATATGGGAGCTAAAACAATAAAACTTTTAGAAAAAGTATAAGAAAAAGAATCTTTGTGACCTTGGGTTAGGGAAAGATTTCATAGGACACAAAAAAGAATGACTCATAA